CAGCTGCTGTGAGGCCAGATAGGAAGTCGTAAAGAAGGCACTGATATTGGGCGGTCTTGTTAAAGTCGATTTTGGAAGTCATGGTTATAGGCTTTGAACGACTAAGCAACTGCTGTGTAATCAAGCCCACACACCCTTTATATACTGCTACTGTGGAAGGCTCGAGAAAGTTCCATAAATTTTTTTTCTGGAAAATTCTCGAAACGGCCAGAACTTTCCGATTGACCCAATACTTTGGTACCGTATGAGGTCATACATAAGACAATAGGTCTACTCTACAGAACACACAGCTAATAACATGATGTAGAAAGAAACTGCATATGTTTACATTTTTTCACACTGCCAGATTCCATTAAGAATAGACTTAGAATGTACTTGTCACCATTACAATTATAGACCCTTATAAAGGGGATGTTATTGAAGTCAATGAAAGAAAATTTGTTGTGAATAAAAATACATATTTCTGAATTAAATACAAACCTTGAAACTAATTGAAAAGCAAGAATGATCACATAGTTGACAGTCAATAATCAGAGCTTTTATGCAAATAATATTCATGAAATCAGAAAATACTGAAGTTTCTTTTAAAAAATAATAAAGATGGCAGACAACTACCACATATTCAAGATGTTGGTAGCTGTACCTCTTCAAAAATAAAATGGACTCCTACTGACAGCATTTGAGTCCTGCAGCCCAATATATTTTACAAGATGACTGGGAATACACCAATGCCTTCATCATGTATTCCATTTTCATCATGCACTAAGTTGCCTTTGCACTACTCTCACTTCATTTTCATGGAGTTCTTCCTTTCATCTGTTGCTTTCCAGTTCTCCAATTTCTTTGGTGAGAATTCTGCACAACTCACTCATCTATCTTGCTGAAGCAACTTCCCCTTTGGTTCCTCCTTTCGAAGTCTTTCAACATACTTTCTTTGTATATCATGATCGTTCTGGCAAAAAAATGCCATGACTGGTTGACATTAGCTATGTTTATCTTTCCACATACAGAACACATGAGAAGTGTCTGCTTATCATATTCCCACTGAAAGCTTAAAAATAGCACTTTCTTCTGGATGCGCAAGATGTCTCCATGAACAGGTTTGTTCAATTGTATTTGATGACAATGGTCCACCTGCAACATATAATATGACTATGTTCATATATTTTTCTGAAGCAAAATCAATATTTTTCAGAGGTCACGGAAATTAGAAAACAGATCTTAATGCCTAGGATGTGGAGATTTGTGAGAACATGGGAGAAACCAGAAGAGATTCTGTATGAGGGGCATTTAAAAAGTTTTAGTAACACAATTCTATTCT